ATAAATGTTCCTGCACTGTATTATTTATTCACCAGCAAGCTTTGTGTGCTTAATATGTGGACATACGCAGTGTAGCGAATCCTGTGTTGAAGATGGTGAATTTAATAAGGTCACATAGTCACATGGGCTCAACCATATATAGTTCAGAGACATGTTGAAAGATACACAGTATAGCAAGATTTACCAATAAGATGACTAACTTGTGAGAAAGTTCTGAGTAGGGTATTTAATTTAAGAAAGGAAATAGGTGACATTATGGAAAATAAAGCAGGCCGCTGTCATTAATGTCTGATGAAAAGTATAGAAATTGGCCTCTGCTGCAAACATAACACTACACGCCATTTAAAATTCCTGAACCTAAAACTACAAGAGAGAGGGAAATCTAGTTTCTGATCTATACACCCGCCTAAAGGCCTTCTGAGAGTGTTTCTTTCAGAATTTTTTCTCCTGGGAGGGGTGGACGACGACACTTGAAATTTGTATACATGTCTATATAAATTATATTTCGTGAGGGAGGGGGGGAGAAGGGGAGGTAGCCATTCTTCGGGGGCAGGGGGGGGGGGCTGTACCTCCCCGAAGAGATGCCTGGAAAAAACTCTGGCCCCCGAACTGATTTTTTATATTTAATGCGGCCCTCGGGTTAAAAAGTTTGGAGACCCCTGATCTAAATGAAACGATAATTATTTGTAAACATACCTGGGGAGATGGGGGTCTTTTCAAAGAGCTAAAGACGGCATGGATATCTTAGGCTTATACGTTATTCTAAACACCAGACATCACAAACACATACCACAAACACATACACATAAACACACACACCACACACACACCACACACACCCCACATTCCCCACACCACCCCACCCCACCTCACACCACACATCACTCACCACTCACCACACACACCACTCACCACACACCCATATATATATATATATATATATATATATATATATATATATATATATATATATATATATTTGTATGATAGTAAATATAATTTATATTCAGGAATATTGTACGAACGAAAGTATGGCGCTTGCTAAACTAGACGAACAAATTGAAGTTCAGAACATGATGCCATATATCGCTCGTAAAGGTTTGATATTAATACATGCAAATTTACGACTGCCTTATGTTTATTACAGAGGCGTAGCGAGGGGAGGGGGTGGGGGGGGGGACATATTTCCCCGGGCGCCGATCTTAGGGGGCGCCAAAATGGGTTGGAAAAATAAATTGAAAGCTTAAGGGGAGGTGCAAATCGAAAACATGAGAGTGACATTTCCTTGTATAGAAATTTGCACTAAGTCGAAATAAGAAATAAAATGATTAAAAATATGTATACTTACTTAAATAGAGCGGGAGTAATCCCATCAGAGGGAGCGTTAATAGTGACAATTACCCACAGGACATCCCCCCCGCACCCGAGATTACCACCTCCAAGCAATTACCCCTCGTCCAGTTATGGATAAGTTAAGACTAGGGTTAGGTTTGGGTTAGGGATAGTTTTAGGGTTATATTTAGGTTTAGAGTTGTATTTAGGAATTAAGGTTAGGGTTAGCTATAAGCTGGGAGTTTGGGGTTAAGATCAAGGTTCTTAAGTATCAGAGGGGGGGGGGGTTGAAGAGGTGGTAATTTCCTAGACCTGAAGCTGACATATCATTATCATCAATAGAACTAGCCCAATACATGAACAACCAAACGTACTTGCGTGATAATTAAAAAAGGAGACTGGAGCAAGATATTATTTTCAACTAGCGGCTTCCGAAAACACAGTTTCAAATAAAAGTTATTGACTATGGTTATGGAAAATTGACAATAGATGTTGATTGCAATGAAGATTCCAATGTTTTTAGAAAATTAAATCCTTGTTATTGCGAGTGCTTGGTAACTCTGATTATTGATCACAGTAAACTGTACATGCCACAGTAAGTGATTATTTTTTCAACACATTCGCAAGACATCTGTACATTATTGAGAATGAAACTTGTGATGAGATACCATGCACTTCTAAACTTTGAAGACTACTGGTCCACTGAACCTGATCTCCATGTTTCATACATCGATAATGTGATGCCAAGATAAAGATTTGAAGTCAAAAAGACATTTATACCTACAATTGACACAAATTCAACTCTGGCTACAATGCAAAACCAAGCTTGAATATAGAAAATGATAGCGAGATCTCACATCAAAGAAATATTACCTCAAGACCTGGATTTAGAGGCGAGAATTTCACTTCAACCCCACCTGAAGTTGATAAATCAAAGGAAGAAAAACTCAGGAGTTATGCACAATCGGCAAGGGAAAAGATTGAGAACATAACTGACAATATGTGTGATGTCTGCCATATTCGCGTATATTACATAACATCACGTAACTGCTTCCAAAAGCTTCATTCATAGATTACTATTCACTCATAAAGGACATAATTGTGTTCTCATTACTGATATTTTCAATTTCCAAGTACCAGAACAATGAACAAACGTTTAATTACTTTCAGAACAAACATATTGACATAACTCACAACGCAACCTATTTTCAATAATTTTCCCTTGACACCCATAGGGACACATATGTTCCATGCTGTACCTCAAAAACTATTTAAGATAGCGGAAAACCGTTAGTATTTTTAAAATCTACGTGTCATTTTACTACAAAATGTGCACAGATATTTGAAATTATGCGTGCAGTTCTTGTAGTTCGGTAAGGGTTAAAGGCTTTAAGTTGACCCACACAACGTGATCCGGCAGCAGTCTTTAGTACGTTTTAAGATCTTTCAATGATTTACAACTGATGATCCCCTATTATTTTTAAAGATTAGGGGAATCAACAAAACGACAAGGAATGACTTATATACAGTGTTTCTTCCAGACTTTTTTCTCCGGGGGGGGGGGGGGGCACTTGAAATTTTCGGGGGGGGGGGGGCGGTAGACTTTCTTCGGGGGGGGGGGGGGGGCGGACACTGTTAAAAGTATATATTTTCTATATAAATTATATAAATTTCATTTCGTTCGGGGGGCGGTTAAATTTTTTCGGGGGGGCTTTGCCCCCCCGAAGAGATGCCTGGAAGAAACTCTGCTTATATACAACCCTAAAGAGTCGATAAATCGTATGATTTTGATGTAATATTTATAAGTTACTTGTTTTGTTTTATAGTGTAGGCCTACTTCTTAATTACATTTATTTTACTACAAGTATAAACGTTAACCCTTTACTTTTGTATTTTATTCAAGAATATTTCTGGATCGGAGCGCGAAAGATAGGCGATAAATTAGTCTGGGACAGAAAGAAAGGAACTGTCCCCTTAGGCTTTCTGGCCGAAAAGAATATAAACGTCAGCTTTGAGGGTGACTGTGGAAGCATGAACTCTCTTGGAAAACTCCAGACAAATGATTGCTCTAGGCTTTTCCAATTCATCTGTGTAGCCACAGGTAAATTTTTTACACTGACATTTATTAATTACTAGCGTGCCCGTCCCGGTGCGTTGCCGCGGGGGATAGAAAAAAGTATTTAAATATTTAAAGAGGGTTTCATTAATGCGTTAAATATTTATATTTAATTTAATGAGAGAGTAATACACTTATTTTTTGATCAGTCTTTTTTTTTATATTTCATTTTTTTTTCAAGTATATGTTTTAAGATGTTTTTATTGATTTTTAAGCTTAGTTTGAATACACTGAAGTGAATAAACCAGCTTTTTTTGTTTTATTATCTACAGTAAATGCATGCGATTACCCAGAAGTTGAGAATGGGTTGTGGGTCAATTGTAACTACCGCGTAGGAGGGACCTGTGAATTGGAATGTGAGGATGGGCACAACAAGACAGGGCAGACAGTGACATCTTGCCAAACCGATTTCTCATGGGCAGATCCCGGAAAATGCATAAGTTCGTGTTTTTTTTTTTAAAAATACGTATTTCTTTTAGACATTGTTTTTTTTTTTTTTCGGGTTGTAGTGGCCGTGACGGTAAATGAAACATACGGTTGGGGAAAAAGGACATTTCTTTTTTCTTTCCTGTGAAAAAAAAGGGGGGGGGAGGGGGGGGGGGGGCACAAGTAAAATTATATATTTTTATTTAATTCTTGTCGGGGGGGGGGGGGGGGAGAAGAGCGGCAGTATTTCTTTCAGTCATCTTTTCAGAAGGGGGGGGGGGGTAATTTATATAGAAAATATATACTTTTAACATTATCCGCCCCAACCTACCCACCCACCCTCGGGAGTTTTGGACCGCCCTTCCCCCCTCCCCCCCACGCGAAAATTTCAAGTGCCAGCCCCGGAGAAAGAAGTTTCGAAAAACACTGGGGGTGGTGTGGGGGTGGGGGGGGGGGTGCAGTAGGCGTGCTTCAGGTTGGCACCGAACCCAAATAGGATTCTTAAAGACACACCGGTTAATAAATGGATCTAAGATAGATATTCATTAGCTACTTATTAATGATGTTTACAATGCATAACGCATATATATATATATATATATATATATATATATATATATATATATATATATATATATATATATATATATATATATATATATAGACAGACAGACAGACCAGACCAGACAGACTGACTGACAGACAGGCAGTGTTTCTTCCAGACTTTTTTCTCCGGGGGGGCACTTGAAATTTTCGGGGGGGGGGGGGGCGGTAAATTTTCTTCGGGGGGGGGGGGGGGGGCGGACACTGTTAAAAGTATATATTTTCTATATAAATTATATAAATTTCATTTCGTTCGGGGGGGGCGGTAAAAATTTTTCGGGGCCCCCGAAGAGATGCCTGGAAGAAACTCTGCAGACAGGCAGAAAGACAGAGACAGATAGATAGATAGATAGATAGAGAGAGAGATAGATATATATATATATATAAGTCAAATTTCTTTTCCTTTCTGCAGAGCCGTGTAATAAGAAACCGGATCCTGTTGAACATGGTTTTTGGGTAAACTGCATCCCAGGTATAGAGTGCACGCTTTTGTGTGACGATGGTTTCACGCAAGTTGGAGATTTACAAGTTTTCTGTCAAGATGATGGGCAATGGTTTGATATAGGAGCCTGTAAAAGAATTGTTGGTAATTTATGACAATGGTATATGTATATACACACACACACACATATATATATATATATATATATATCTATATATATATATATATATATATATATATATATATATATATATATATATATATATATACAGATATATATATATATATATATATATATATATATATATATATATATATATATATATATATATATATATATATATATATATATATATATATATATATATATATATATTAGCGTACCCGTCCCTGCGCGTTCCCGCGAAGTAGAAGAAAGTGAAAGTCTGATGAAATATATAAGACGGGTTTCATCAATGAGTTACCAATCCTATGTTCTAAGACGCGTGACCTTGTTTTCTAGACTGAGTTATTTAAATGTAGACAATGCCTGCGCTTGGATAATAAAAATCTGGACACGGATTTACCTTCACTACCTGATGAAAACCTTCAGTGTACGTTAATCACCCACCGAAATAAAAGGTAGAACACACTTCGGTGACCGCCCATGTGTCAGAGACGTAGAGCGGCGCTCTCCGGAGGTCCCGATTATACTCCGCATAGGCGACGTGTACAGCCCCTGGCTACTTAAAACTAACATAGGCGCCATAGCGCTCACAGATAATCCAGAGCGTCAAATAGCATCCTGAAACAATGATGCAGATTCGCTAAAGTGACACGAATCAACAGGATTTTTTCTTTAACACGTAGAAAAAAAAATATTTGACGTGTTATAAACATCAGTATGACTGATGCTATTTGTTAGTGTTATTCATGGTGTATTATTAGACGCTGGATCTCAATTTCTGATCGGATCGTTTAAAAATCGATGCTAATTATTGCATCATTCGCAAAGTGACAAAACTGAACAGAAGTATTTACTCGCGTTACAAAGTTATTTTAGAAGTGTGACTTTTATTTTTTATTTGAGTAGCCCTTCTAAATTTAATTTTTTACGGAAATATTTTCATTATTTTGAGAACTGTAGGCTTTGAATTGTTTGGATTTGTTTATAGACAAAAGGAAATAACCCAGTGTTAATAATCTAGCCTTGGTTAATTTTCCTGATTATAAAAAAGTGTATTACAGGGCCCTCAGCAGCCCGCGTGAGCCTTTGGGGTCCGAAACTGGAATTTGTGTTTGCAGCCAGATCACACCCTACCAGGGCGACGGCTGACACGTCGGATTCAATTTAGTGAGCGACTGCAACGGCCCATCTTATCCATTGTCTACCGCACTGTTTAGAACGAACGTAGGTGCCATTGCGCTCACGGCAAAGCCCAGGGCGCCAAATTGAACCCTGCAGGGGCGCCTGGCAACGCGCCTAGTTCAATATAGTCAATGGTTATAGTTGCTTATCGTGTCTTTAGTGTATAGCCTTTTTGTTACATCTACGTGGTTCCGACGGTTGTGCCTGTTGAAGTTTTAACACTGAATACAGCAGTACTCCTTACCCGCTATGCAAGGCACACAATTAAAGGATGCCACGTGCTAACACGGCCACTCTGGAACTCTGAGCGCTAAATTGTGTATTGACGAAAATCGCACCCTCGCAGGCGACGCCTGTATCAAATTTTCTCGGGAGTATTCTCCTCAATCGCCCAAAAGTTTCATGGCACACGGATGAAAGGTGTCGAACCGTATCTGACTTTTATGTTTTATATACCGTATATGGAGAAAAATTGCAACCCTCCCAGGGCGCAGCCCTTGCGAAATTAAAAATTTGATATCGATCGGATGAACGGTGTGAAACCGCAAACGACTTTTATTTTTAACTAGCCGACCCGTGGCGAATCATACGCCGCTATTTAGTTGTTTACAGCTTGGTGTTTTCTAGGGTCTCCAAGAAGAGAATTATATGTGTTACGGTCAAAGCCCGAAGTGCGGCCAAAGCGCGGATTGGCCGGCCAATCCGCGCATTGGCCGGCTCTCTTGGCCAAAGCCAGAAGAACTGAGAACTAAGATCGTATTTCGTACATTGGCCGGCCAATGTGCGCACTGGCCGGGACGTACTGGCCAAAGTCCGAAGCGCTTAAATTTGACAGCGTATTTTGTACATTGGCCGGCCAATGCGCGCACTGGCCGGTATGTCCTGGCCAATGTTCTATCTAGACTAAGTTGTGATCGCATTTTCATTACTCTGGGTGATTTTCATTGAGAGTAACGTATTGTTTAGCTTTTGTTTGTATAGCATTCTATATGCAAGGCGACATGGATCAAAAGGGCCGTCAGACCATGAGACAGACATAGCAGATGGCTGTCAAAAGAAAAAAAATGTAAATCCATGTTAGTTTCCATATATGGGCTCTCGATACAATAGTTACTGAGGAAGATCTTGAGAACATTGAACAAGAAATGGAGGTTCCCATAAATGCTACGACATCCTCATCTAACACATCTGCTGCCGTGGCGGAACGTCCAGACCAGTTGCGTGACAATAATGTGGCCAACAGATTCTGTATAGTTTGTGAAAAACATTGTAGTGCAGCTCATTCTTTTGGATCCTGTGGCAACGATGTCCATGCTATTTGTGGAATACCCAATGAAGCAGATGAAGGGTAAGGAGGGAACATTACATGCAGATTGTGTCACAACAAACAAGACATCATGGAACACAGATCAGCAGCTCATACTGGCTTGCAAACTCAAGGTGCTAAGATGCTTAAAACATCAAATACAAAATTTAAAGATGGTGAAGTGGGTGACAATGTACGCATCCGTTTTCCAGATGTTGACAGAGGTCACGGTGATCCCCGAAGCGTGATTGCAGTTGTCATGAGCGCCGAGGGCGGTTTCTACAAATTAGGAACGGAACAGTGGCGTAGCCAGGATCGTCTCAAGAGGGGGGGGGGGTTCCAATTTTTACCCGGGGACAAACTTTCGATTTGCACCCCCCCCCCCCTCAAACTTTCGATTTGCACCCCCTCCCCTCAAACTTTTGATTTGCACCCCCCCCCTCAAACTTTTGATTTGCACCCCCCCCTCAAACTTTCGATTTGCACCCCCCCCCCCCCCTCAAACTTTCGATTTGCACCCCCCCTCAAACTTTCGATTTGCACCCCCCCCCCCTCAAGCTTTCGATTTGCACCCCCCCCCCCCTTCAAACTTTCGATTTGCACCCCCCTCATACTTTTTATATATACCGAGGGGTCTATGGGGGGGGGGTTATGACCCCCCCTAACCCCCCCCCTGCCTACGCCACTGGAACGGAACATGGTGTTCTAAAACAACTATATGCTAGAAGTGAGTTTTCAATTCTTCACGAAAAACTGCTCTTATTGTCAAGTGGCACTGAGGAAAAATCACTACGAACCATCGCATCTTCACAATCATTGACTGGGGGCCAAGGCTACACTCGCTGCAATTGCACAACTACGTGCACAACAAATCGCTGCAAGTGTAAATATAACAAGCTGCTATGTAATTCTAAATGCCATAAAAGTTCAACTTGTTGTAACAAATGATGATATTGATAGATTGAGACTATAGTACAATAAAAAAATTGAATGTTTCTGTCATTTACTTTAATTAATAATCAATAAAGACTTAATTTCATGATCTTTACGGCATTAAAAAAACCCAAAATCTGCTCATGATCTTCTATTTCGGACTTTGGCCTGTCGTCCCTAGCCAGATGATCTTCTATAATAATAAAGACTTTGGCCGGTCCACCTTGGCCAGACCGCGGACTGGCCGGCCAAAGGCAGAAATCAAGCAGAGTTTCGGACTTTGACCGACCTATGGGAGGCAATATTGGCCAATGCGCGGATTGGCCGGCCAATCCTAGCATTGGCGAATTCGGGCTTTGACCGTAACATATATATAGATATACAGTATTCAGAGAAAAATCCAACCCTCCCGTGGCAACGCCTTTGCGAAATTAAAATAGATGTTTTTGCAGAAACCTTCTCTGGACTGTTCATATCAACTACACAAAGTTTAACGGCGATCGGATGAACGGTGTGGAACCGCAATCGACTTTAATTTTTATATACCGTATATAGAGACAAAACAAATCGCGGGGCGTCTACCCTGCGAATTTAAAATATTTTTTTTTCCGTAGAAACCTTTCCTGAAATATTCTCAAAAACTTCCCAAATTTTCACGGCGATGTGATAAGAGGGGTAGTAATGCATAAAAGTTAAACAGACACACACACACACAGACATATATATATATATATATATATATATATATATATATATATATATATATATATATATATATTGATATATATATATATATATATATATATATATTTCTACCAGAGGAAAATACGACCGTGTGGAATTGTTTAAAAGGATCATTTGGAACTGATTGCTTGTACCGTAAGTTTGTGTGCAAATGATCTATTTAATTAAAAAAATGTATTGTTTGTGTTAACGTCTATTGTTGCTTTATATTGGCCTTTCTACTCTTTCATGTCCATACACCTCCCATATTTTCTCGCTTTCTACATTGCCATTTTAATATACTCTTCAGGCACCGATCGATATAAGTCAATACAGTTGTAATTTGTATTTCTTTCTTATTGACTCTGATGTTTTCCGTGTCTCGGATCCGTATAGCCGTAATACCGCTACGTTTGAATTAAAGATTCGTACTTTAGTCTTTTGTTTTAAGATTGCTGACCACTTCAAGACCTTTCCAAGACTGGCTAATGCCTGTCGGGTCAGTCTTATTCTTCATGTCTTCGTATGTTCCTCCAGATATATTATACACACTTCCGAGATACATACATTTCTCTACTTGGACAATGCTTTTTAAAATATTTTTTTAATGTTAACATTTCCATCTTAATTGCGAATAATTTCTATTGTTGTTGTTTATTGTAAGTCCTACTCTTTTTACAGTCTCATTTGGTAAATCCCAAATCCCAAAATATCGTGGGGGGAGGGGAGTGTCGTTCGGATTTTTTTTTCGATTTGCTGCTCACTTTTTAGCCCTCGGTTATGGCCAATGGCCTGTACAAATTTTCACTTGTTTCGCTGGTTGCATGCGCATGACGAATTTGAACCGCCTATGGGATCCGGTATTCGACCATTTTTCTTTATATATATATATATATATATATATATATATATATATATATATATATATATATATATATATAAATATATATATATATATATATATATATATATATATATATATATATATATATATATATATATATATAATTTTTGGTTTGTTATATCACCCTTTCATTCATAATTCAAAACGATGCATAAAAGAAAATGGTTTATGATTCTAGAAAAAAAAAGGATAGCGTGTTTGGAAAATGGGTGTTGATTTATTGATGTGGTGCCGCGTCGAATGGTTTAAAACTGCTCTGTTTGTACTTGGACTATATTCTTTACCTCTGTCTACTCTTTGCGTTGATATCTATATCTGACTTTTATTATACACTTTCTAAAGTAATTTTGAGAATGGCATTTCTCAACAGTGGACAAGGTTTGGACGGCAGAATCGGTTCACCCTATTGAGTTCTCGAACGTCGATTTTAACGAATGCGTATTTACTGAAACAATAAGTCTCACATTTAAAAAAGGATTTTACTTCACAGATATGCTTGTAATATTTGAACTTGAAGGTAAACGATAATTTATACGCTCTAAACGCACTTAAATATATAAGCTAATAGTGTTTTAGATATCTAATCCACTACTCAAACGTTTGTATTTTTGTTTGTTTGTCTTTTCCGTTAGATGAGAACATCTGCATTATGTGTAAAACTATATAATACGTATTTAAGTAGAGAGTTATCTTCTTCTTTCCCAAAATGTTATTCACAAACTTATTTAGAGACGATAATTACAATTTTTTATACATTTATTTGTAAATACACCCATTTAATTATAAAAGTTTAGAAAAAATACTTAAGTTTCTTATTTTCACAACATATATGGCGGCTTCCATGGAAGACTTTGTTGCCCGTACAAAAGTTTAACGCATTATAAAGCTAAATTTTCTGTCGACGATCGCCGATTTGCCATTTTTATTCGTTTCCATCACTATTATAAATTTTCAATAGAATACGCTTGGCAGTTCTTCTAATTTGAGAATACAATAAATTTACCTAGATTAGATCGGTTAGATCTACCGATAGGCCAAACCAAAATTAATTAGTTAGAAAAAAAAAGTATAAAACAAAAATATTAAATTGAGTTTCTTTATTAAACTTAAAATATTAGATATAAATCTTTTGTTTTATTTTCACAGATCATCTAATTCGTCTGTCCGTAGATTGCAGATCTAGCTCTATCTAGGTTCTAGATCTAGAATCTTAAACATTATGAGTCTCTTTACTAAACTACTTTAGGCCTTAATTATTTTATGTAAATGTTTTTTTTTGTTTGGCTTAAATAAGATATAATTTAATTTACAATAATATTCGTGTAATTTAACTTTCTTATACTAATGTCTGAGTAATATATTAGGCAATACATTTAACCCAATAAATGCCCATATATATATATATATATATATATATATATATATATATATATATATATATATATATATATATATATATATATATATGTTAATCTTTTTAGTGCCAAACTGTTGACGTGTTCATGTTCATAACTAACGACGTAATATTATTTTAGTATTCAGAATTATGAGGCCCACAATGTTTTAATAAAAATTGGCTTATTTATCTAATAAATGGAAAACCAACATTTCACATAATAATAGCGAGAAAAGCTTTGTTGCATAGGTTGTCGTATTACACTATACGTTTTAAAATTGCAATCATTTATACAATTTTCTCAGATGAACCAATTTTTGATAGATATTGTAATTGAGCTTTTCGATCATGAGACAACCTTACCACATCTGTTGGACGAAACCACCTAACAGAAAATGCTGATCTCTTAATTGGACAGCAATGTAGTATATTTGGAATCGAACCCACAACTCATAAAAATTGACAAACGTGTAACCCCTCGACCGTTTGTTTCAACGACCGTTTGCCGAAGAATATACCCATACAAGGAATTATACCCCGTTGTAGGTCATGGCACATGCGCAGAATTTTTTTTTTTTTTACGCCTAGCCTAAAATATAGGTTATTCAACGGATACTGTCTAAAAGTTGTCATTTTGCTTTTCCTCAGATACGGCACCGAAAGTGACTTTGAATTTCACACTTCCCAACAATACAGAAAGTTTTTGCCCGCAGCTCGTGGTGTATTGGAGGGGTAGAGTTCGAATGATGCTCGAATGCCGGAATCCCGAATACATACTTCATCTAAACCTCACTCTAGGCGGTAACTTTTCCGTTTGCAGGATAGCGTTGAATGGGGGTAAATTGCTGATTAAATATTTCTTAGGGGTTATTTCTAAACATCGTCACTTTTTTTACATTTTTTTTCCTCACACTATTATCAACGTCACAAAAAGTCAGAACCCTACCACAAAAACGGTTAAAGGAAAGTTTCTAACAACAATTAATAATAATAATAATAATAATAATAATAATAATAATAATAATAATAATAATAATAATAATAGTAATAATAATAATAATAATAATAATAATAATAATAATAATAATAATAATAATAATAATAATAATAATAATAATAATAATAATAATAATAATAAAACCTCTTATGATGCCTTGACTGAATCGTCACACCCGCTTGGTCCCCCTACCACCACCGTTGAAGTGTGACGTCATTTATGAGTCCCGTTGAAGTATTAAAAAATTTATTTAAGGAAAAAACTAATTATACAAACAATATGTTTTGGCCAACAAATTTTTATATTACAAAAATGTTGGATCCTAGTTTCTTAATCTGTAATGCGTATTTTCGCCATTCCGATGAAGACGTGAAAGAATGAAGGGGTTCAAGAGAGCAAAAGTGCTAGAGTTAAAGTGTTAAAGAGCAAAAGAGTAGAAATAAAGCGGGAGTAATCTCCCCTAAACTTTCTCGAATATTCTTAAATAAAACAACAGAGGATGGCAACTCAGGATATAGACATGATTTTTAATCCATTTTAAATACTTAAACTTTTTAAAATAGAATAAAATCTCGAAGAAAAAAAGTGCAAACCAAGTGAACGCCAAATAATATATGCATAATAGTGCGGAATATTATTAGTACTTTATAAATTTACATGCGTTTTTTGAGAAATCGGAAATAGCAAAAATTACTACTTCCGGTCAACAGAAATTATTAAGAATTTTATAGAAGGCAGAGAATCAGATCTTTTACTGACGTGTGAAATTTTATTCATCTATCTGAAATAGTACTCAAGTTATAGGGTTTTGAATAATTCAAAATAGAAAACAATTCCACTTCCGGTTATCGGAGATTGCTTTAAAGTTGATACGGATCTACGAGTTAGATATACTACTTATATATGAAATTGCATCAACATAGCTGTAACGGTACTCAAGTTATCGTGTTTATAGACACACACACATACACACACAGACATAGATACAAGATTGCAAAACTATGTTTTTCCGACTCATGGAGCTGTAAAACGTCGAGAATTGCGAAAAATTCTATTTTTTTGCACGATTACAAGACTTTCTCTATACTTCGTATATACGAGAAAGTAAAAAAGAATGCAATAGTAAAAGAAAGAAAATTTGAATGATATAAATAGTGTAGGGTGGAAGGAGTGAAAGAGTTAAAATTGAATGAGAAAAACATCAAAAGATCTTAGATCAAAGTATTTATATATTCTAAAATTTTAAGTTTCTATTGTGCCAAGATCAGAGGCGTAGCGACCCTTCCCTGCGCCCGGGGACAAACTTTCAATTTGGCGCCCCCCTCGGGAGCAAATTTTGAATTTGCACCCCCACCCCTCAAACTGCAAAAGATGCAGCTAAAATGACATTTTAATTTGTTTTTATTAACCAATTAAGGCGCCTACCATCGCTACGCCTCTGGCCAAGATCATAACATGCTATATTGGACTCGAGTCTGTTTGACTTACCGGAGTCTACTCAGATCTGATGGATACCTGCCTCATGTTAGGCAAGCAAATTAAACAGTTAAACTCTACTTGATCTGCCCCTTGTGTCTTGGGCACAAACGGGGAAAGTTTCTGATTATGCTAAGATTGTTATATCCTAAGACTCTAGGATTAATATTCTAAGATTCTTATATTATTAGATTCTAAGATTCAAATATTATTATGATATTCTAAGATTTTTAGATTCTAAGAAGCTTAAATGAAATGGTCAAACGAACGTATTGTTTATAGTTATTTTTTTACCTAGCATGGTTACTTTGTCATCTTTTTTTTAAATACATTTATTTCTAAATTAACTTATTCCTCTGTGCACAAGGAAGGAATGTTGCACTGGAAGGAACAGCAACTCTATATTTTAATAAGGTGCCAGTGCCCAATAGAGACCCATCGCATCAGCCATCAGTTCTAAATAAAAACCCAACTGGCTTTTATATCGAGAAAAGAGGAATAGCTCTTACTTGGGAGTTGCTTTTTGAAAAGCCTAGAAATATTTACGAATTACTTCTTATAACATGTCGTAAGTTGTTTTTTTAAAAACTAACAGTATAGTATTTAATCATAATGTTAATATTGTTTTCCATTTTAATTATTATGATTTTAAAATTTAAAATTAAAAAAAAAGGTTAATGGTTAATTTTTAAAATGTTGAAAATTAATTTTTTAAACATTAATGTAAGAGGTATAAAAAAAAAACATTACAATTTCAATCATTTATCTCTCTCTAGGTAATCCGAACAGAACCATGTCAAAATTTGACCTTGAAATGATAGATTTTGATAATAAATCCGTCTATACCTATAATTCAACCGAAGCAAGCGGTTTTCATCATTATGCTTCGGGAAAAATATATAAGGAAATTTGGAGAATTATCATACGATCCGTCGACGTGCTAAGTTTCTGTGGGATTTATGCCTATGGCGGTATTTTTGATTTTTATTCATATTGCTTTTTAAATTCATACATGGAGTTTACAAATAGGAAGGCTTTTTTTAATCGTTGAAAAGTTTTAAAAGCACTGAAATACGCACACGTTCACATGGTAATGGAAAATAAAAAAAAAACAATGTGCTCACAATATGATACGACTTGTACATACTTGATTCAATTGAATTTAAATAAAATATCATAAAGTATTTTATTAAGTAAAAAAAGGTAAAGTTTCCCTTTCAACCCTGATGGCCTATGGGCCAAGTGAAGTAGAGTTCACTTGTTTCTGTGACCTCGGCATATGAATAGATAGTGTGGTCAACACTATGCCCAGCCGCCTTTACTCTCCCTAACGTGACTTGAACCTGGATTCGAGCTCGAGAATTAGGGTTAGCAGTCCAGCTCTCTACCGCTAGAGTATACCCTTTAGTATTTTATTACTAATAATTTATTTCAAAAACGTAATAATTTTAGCATGTGTTTGATCCCAAAATAATCAATCTTATCATCAGATGATGCGGCCTGTACAAACCCATAGCACAATGCTACAGTTTATTACAATATCATATTTGATCTCTATGTATTACTGTTTTTAAACAAGTAATCAACATTAACGCACATATTGCTGACTCTCCGTGCTGAACGAGCAAGTTAAACAAAAAACCGGACGAATAAAAATAAAACGGTTACATTACGTGTATTTAAATGATCTGAGTCCAGAGTACTAATATTTTTTATTGTGAACAATTTTAAAGTAGCCAATGATCCTCTTTATTCTGTGCTAGTGATTTGTGCCCAAAGAGAACACATTCCATTGAGCAGTGGCGTAGCCAGGATCGTCTCAAGGGGGGGGGGTTCCAATTTTTACCCGGGGACAAACTTTCGATTTGCACCACCCCCAGACTTTTGATTTGCACCCCCTCTCAAACTTTTGATTTGCACCCCCCTCATACTTTATATATATATATATATATATATATATATATATATATATATATATATATATATATATATATATACCGAGGGGTCTAGGGGGGGGGGGCTATGACCACCCCCTACCCCCCCCCCCCCCCCTGCCTACGCCATTGCCATTGATACATCTATATTAACTTTTTGGAGAGATATGAAAACAAAACAACTGTTTTTAGAGTACACAGAAGCGACTTTGAAAACTCCACTCTCTATAAAATACATTGTACAATACTTTATTTCGATTTGTCACGTATTGTAAATGAATCCATTGTGCCAAATTACAGTTGAATCTTTTTCTATTTGCCATTTGTAAATTACACCACATTATTTATCCAGAGGCGTAGCGAGGGGGGGGGGGGCGACATATGTCCCCGGTCGCTGACCTTAACGGGGGGGGGGGGCGCCAAAATGGGTTGGAAAAACAAATTGAAAGTTTGAAGGGGGGGGGGGGTGCAAATAAAAAGGTCGAGGGGGGTGCAAATCAAAAGTTTAAGAGGGGGGGAGGGCAAATCGAAAGTTTGTCCCCGGGTGCCGGAAATGGTCGCTAGGCCTCTGTATTTATAACAAGTATATGTTGCCCCTTTTAATAAAAATTAAATGCAGAAAATATCTGTAAAATTTTAATATACAATTACAATCAATTTTTAGAATGTGTTAGAAGATCATACTCCAAACAGTGCAATTTGCACTGTAGTATGACGTGTCTTTATCAGGAATGTTTATTTAACGGCATATGTAAAGTCTGTGTACCTAACAGGATCGGGGACTATTGTATGGACTGTAAGTTTCTAAATGGGCTTAGTTTCTAAAAACTATCTTATATTTTTGGTTAGCTTTTGTGCAAGTTTGCTGATGTTCATTCAAATTTTACGCCATTTGTCTATGCGAATTTTTTTTTTTTTTTGTTAGCTTTTATTTAAACACGGTTCAAAATAATTTTAATAATAATATTTTCAAAGCACTAAAATACGTAAAATAGGGTTTAAATGTTAACAAATATGTAAGCCTATATATGTGTTTGTACCAAAGTCTGAATGTAATTTTGTTTTTAGAATTTAAAAAAAAAATTAATTTGAATTATTATTTTTTTGTAGATATAACACCGCCTAATTATACTTACTTTGCTACGCCAAATAGACCTGTAATACCTATAGTGAGAAATGAAGAAAAAACCTCTTATAAGATATATGCAGGCCTATTCTTCGGGTTTTTTTTCTGCATAATATTGTTCCTCTTCATGTGTTCAAGGAAAAATGACGAGTAAGTATTCTTTGTTTTTTTTTCCATTGTTTTCTGTTGGAACTTACTAATTTTCGAGACTTCAAGCTTTTTAAAAAAAGATTTTACTCATAAAATATATTAGGGGTCGTCCATAGATCACGTCATAGTTCACATATGGATGGGGGGCAGGGGGTCGTAATTTTTGACGGTGTGTGATAACTGTGTGTAGGCGATGGGGGGGGGGGGTGTTCAGTTAGTGTGACGTCAGACTTTCATTTAAATTGAATTTGAGCCTTTATTTCGCGTTTTTACTTTCTCGTAGATACGAAGTATAGAGAAAGTATTGTAATCGTGCACAAAAATAAATTGAAATTTTAACAATTTTCACCGTATTACACCTCAGTCCTTCTTCACATCCGAAGTTTAGAGGACTTATTTTAATCGGGCAAAAATTGTCAATCCAGATTTATCAAAATTAAAAGGTTGTATGCGTAATCCAGTCTGAAAAACTGGGCTTTGCAATTCTGTCCGTATGTCTGTGTGTCTGTGTGTGTGTCTGTGTGTGTGTGTGTGTGTAAACACGATTACTTGAGTACCGTTACAGCTAGGTTGCTGAAATTTCATATATAAGTATTTTATCGAAATCGTAGATCCGTATCAACTTTTGAGCGATTTCCGATAACCGGAAGTGGTACTTTTTCTACTTTGAATTTTTCAAAAGCCTATAACTTGAGTACTATTTCAGATAGATAAATGAAATTTCACATGTAAGTAAAACATCTATATTTCTACCTTCTGTCAAATTTTGAGTAATTTCCATTGACCGGAAGTAGTAATTAACGCTACTTCCGATTTCTCAAAAAACTAATGTAAATTTATAAAGTACTAATAATATTGCGCACTATTATGCAATTTTTTATTTGGCGTTCACTTGGTGTGCAATTCTTTTGTCTACGAGATTTTATTCTATTTTTAAAACTTTAAGAATTTAAAATGGATTAAAAATCATGTCTATAGCTCGAGTTCCCATCCCCTGTTGTTTTATATGAGAATATTCGAGAAAGTTTAGGGAAGATCACTCCCGGTTTATTTTGACATTGTGTCATGGAGGGGAGGGGGAAGGTTGAAAATTGCCAAAACAAAGTCGGACGTCATTTAGAAGTTGCCGCTTAGAATGGAAATAATATTTTCCCCTAGAAATAAGTTATGACCCCTCGGTCTAACACAACACCCCTTTCTCGCCACACCCAACAGAGGCGTAGCGACCCTTCCAGGCGTCACGGGACAAACTTTTAATTTGGCGCCCCCCCCCCCCCCCCCCCCCTGGGAGCAACCTATCACTTTTCGATTTGCACATCCTCTCAAACTTTCGATTTAAACCCCCACCCACTCATATATTTATATTTATAATGCAAAACTGCAGCTAAAATGAGATTTTAATTTGTTTTTTTTTTCAACCCATTTTGGCGCCCCTAAGGTCGGCGCCCGGGGACATATGTACCCCCCCCCCACAACCCCCCTTCGCTACACCTCTGACACCCAACGCATATGACGCATCCATCCGCACCACAGACAGTTTTTCTTTCAGACGTTTTTTGACGTACCGGACCCGCACCTTTTCGTATGCGCATTCACCGAATCATAGTTACAAAAACTCAATAATTCTATTGTGACATTGTCCGTACTGTCTAAAGCCGATCGCTAATCATACTAGTCGGCTGTGTGTTTAGACTATGCCGAAACCCTGAAACTGGGTTTCCGAAACGATGGGCTTTGATCGAACCCTGGTTAGGAAACACTGACCTAAATCTAACAGCGATGTGCGCAGAGTTTCTTTCAGACTTTTTTCTCCGGAAGGGCACGTGAAATTATCAGGGGTGGGGGGGGGGGGGGTGGAGACGGACTAAAATTTCCGGTGGAGGTGGGGGGTGGGCGGACACTGTTAAAAGTATGTATTTTCTATATAAATTCCATTTCGTTCGGGGGGCGGTCGATTTTTTTTTCTTCGGGGGGCTTCTGCCACACCCCCCTCTCCCGAAGAGATCCCAGGTAGAAACTCTGGATATACGCCGCAACAGAGACTAGACTCTTATAGTAAGCTGTTAGAAAAATACATATAAAACAGTTTCGATACAACATGAAACGACGAATTACAAAATCAACAGCACAACACAGCACACATTTTACAACACAAAACGATATTTTTTTTTCAACTGGATTCTATTAAATGCTTTTTTAAATGTATGTAAAAGAATAATTAATTAAAAAAACACTTCTTTAGCCCGATTCCACAGAAAGCGCAATCTCCTTTACTGTTGTACTTAAAACATACGAGAAACTTTAGCGGGAGTTCATTCCTTTTTTTTTTAATTTCAAAACTAAAGTCTGACATACACTTCAATGCAGTTTTATAAATTTAACCTTAAATTACATAAATAGTTTTCCTATTCTACATTTGTTTTTGTGTGAGATGGAGCTTATTTTCGACGTATTTGAAAGTTTAGACATCGTTAGTTATCAACGCTGAAATTTTACCCACTGAAACTAGGGTTTTGACAATAGTTGAATCTGTCTACTTACTTGAAAATATGTAGCACATATAAATGATAAAAAAGCATGTTGTTAATATAGCCAAATTACAGAATGCAGCAAATTAAAAATATAATCACGTAACTTATTATCCCTTGATAAATTAATCCTTCTAACGCAGTGGTTCTCAACCTTTTTCGAGTGGCGACCCCCTTTACAAAAAGTAAGTGACCCGCGACCCCCATAGAATTAAAAAGCCGAAATTAGTATGGAAATTAATGAGCACTAAAATAAGATTTTCTAGTAGACTTTCAATATGAACTACTCTTGATAACTGTTTTAATAGCATGAGTAAAATTGCATACTATTCACTAAACCTTCGTGGTTAAGTTTTTAATTGAAAAAAATATTTTGTTAACGCCAACCTATGTTATTATAATTATCTTAATTTTGTTTTTAATCGAAGAATAGTGTTGAAAATATATTCTCGAAAAGTCAATCAATTTTACGTTTGGGTATGAATGGTGAATACTACACCAAAATTGTGTCTGCACTTTTTCATCTTACTCGGAATCATTCTGCAAATCAAAGAATTCATCTTGTAATTCATCGGGAATGCTGGCAACATCAAGGGAAGAAGAGAATGGATAATGCGTCAATGCAGATTCTTCTTTTTTTCAGCTCAGAGAAATAGCGATGCAGTTCGTTTTTAAGAGATTCAAGATGCCCAGAAATCGCTTCTTTCAAAATGTTAATTATCTCACAATCAGATTCATCTACCACACCGCAGAGTTTCTCAAATTTACAATATTTCCA